AGCAGTGTTCCAGTATGTGAACAGCATCACTTAGCTATTCACTTCTTTATGGATAGCACAGGGCTTTTTTTTTTCTCAATTCAAATAAACCTGCTATGCATATTTTTGCATATACTTTTTGCCAGTCCTGGAGAGTGAGCCCAGAACCTTTCACATGCTAAACAAGCACCCTTACAATGAGCTATACTCCCCAGACACTTTTCATTCTTTTCAGTAATACTTAAAAATTATTATTATTATTTTGTATGTGTGTGTGTGTGTGTTTTCATTTTGTTTAAGACAGTGGTTTGCTATGCATCCAAGACTGGCCTTGAACTTGAGATCCTCTAGTCCTTGCCTTCAGAGTGCTGAGGTTATAACAATGCACCACCACGTCCACGTCTGTGTGTTTTGAATTTTATATTCTGGTGTAGGGCAATTAATTTGTCTGTAGCTAAGAAGCATTTGTTCAGACTGGGAAGAGGGCTTAATTGGTGATGTGCTTGCTAACTAGCTAACGAGCTAACTAAGGACCCAAGTTCAGATCCCCAAAACAGATCACAAAAACTAGGCATGGTGGGGCTGGAGAGATGGCTCAGAGGTTAAGAGCATTGCATGCTCTTCCAAAGGTCCTGAGTTCAATCCCCAGCAACCACATGGTGGCTCACAACCATCTGTAACGAGATCTGGTGCCCTCTTCTGGCCTGCAGGCATACACACAGACAGAATATTGTATACATAATAAATAAATATATAAAAAAAAAAAACTAGGCATGGTGGCATGAACCTCTAATCCCCGTACTAGAGGTGGGAGCTATAGCAATGGGTAGATCCTTGGAACTCACTGGCCATCCCAGTTTAGTGAAAAAATAAAGAAAGCAAACCTATACTGACCTTTGACCTCTACATACACATATGTACAAGGACATGTATATAACACACACACACACAGAGAGAGAGAAGAGAGAGAGAGAGTTGTTTACCTCAAAGTCTCAGAGATTTTCTGGTTTTTCTTTTTGAGATAAGGTCTCTTATATAAGAGGCTGGCCTTGAACTTGCTATGTAGCAGAGTGTGATCTTGAATTTATGATCCTGTTACCTCCATCTCCAGTGCACTGGGATTGCAGCCACATGCCACCACACCTAGTTGATAGGGCGCTAGGGCTTGAACCCAGGCCTTCATGCATGCTAGGCAAGCGCTTTACCAACTGAGCCACATCCCAGCCCTCCTATGTGCTCTTATAAAAGTTTTATGTTTTGGGGGCTGGAGAAACGGCTCAGAGGTTAAGAATACTGGCTATTATTCCAGAGGTCCTGAGTTCAATTCCCAGCAACCACATGGTGGCTCACAACCATCTATAATGAGATCTGGTGCCTTCTTCTGGTGTGCAAGCATATATATAGGCAGAACACTGTATACATAATAAATAAATCTTAAAGAAAGTTTTATGTTTTTATACGTAAAAATCTTTTTTTTTTCATTTTATTCGATAAGTATGGGTGCTGTGTGTGTGTGTGCTCACATATACATTTAGTGCCTTTGGAGGCCAGAAAAGGGTTCGGCTTCCCTGGGACTGGAGTTACAGATGGTTGTAAGCCACTGTGTAGACACCAGGAATCGAACCCAGGTCCTCTAAAAGAGCAGTCAGTGCCCTTAGCCCCAAGTCACTTCTTTAGCCCTGAGTTTTACAGTCACTCTTGACAGTAGGTGACATTAGTTTCTTTTTTGTCAGAACTGTTCTGTCTCTTCTAAAGCCCCTTTGCTTCCCCCTGATGCTTATGAATAAAAACAAAACAAAACTCTACTGGGAGATTCTGCTCAAATTACATCTATAGATAAATTTGAGAAGAATTAGCATGAACATGGTATATCTCTCCATTTATTTAGGTCTTTTTTTTTTCTTAGCAGTGCTTTGTGGGTTTTTTCCCCCCTACAGGCCTTATATATGTTTTGTCATGCTTATCCCTAGGTATTTCAATCTTATTGTTTTAAGCATTTTAAAATTTCTGAGAGCTAATGGGTCAAGCAGTGATTTATTTAATACAGTTTCTGTGTGGTTATTTTGGGAGTCTGGGCAGCCAGGAAACAAACAAGCGGCCTCCTACTATAGATGCCACTAGACAGTTCTTTTTTCTGCAGACATGTATATGTCTTCAAGAAATGATAGTTTTACTTTTCCGGCTTAAATACCTGTTGTTTCTTTTTCTTGTGTAACCACACTGACTAGGACATCAAGTACAAAGGTTTTGTTTTTTGAGACAGGTTCTCACATAGCTCAAACTGGCTTTGAATTTGCAGTGTATTTGCAATGAAGGTGGAGTGTTGGGATTGTGGGCACATGGTACCTCACTCAGGTTTTCAAGTACAATGTTGAAAAGTTGTAGGAGCAGACACCCTAACATTCTCATTATTCGAGGGCATGCCTTCCCAGTCTTTCATTGGTAGGGACTTTATACAGCTGCGCTCTCTCTCTCTCTCTCTCTCTCTCTCTCTCTCTCTTTCTCTCTCTCTTTATATATATATATATATATATATATGTGTGTGTGTGTGTGTGTGTGTGTAGGATATATATATATACATACATATATATATGTTAAGTTTATGGTGTTAATCTTTAAAATTCCATCCCAAAAGGGAGCAAATGGGACCTCTGCAAAGTTAGGGTAACTGGATCAAGAATTAGCAGCAACAGGCGCGATTTCTGTGACCAGTCTGGCCCGGCACTTATCAAGCCTTGCCAGCTGTGGTATTGGGGGTGCGTGTTGCTCAAATGTGTTACCGCTAATTTCTTGTGTAAATGAGACTTGTCACAACGCCTACCTTACAGGGTTGTGAAAAGGTTGAAAATACGTAAATTGTGCTTTTCTTTCTTTTGTGTGTATGTGTTAGGGGCAGGGAAGGGGTTGCTGAGACAGCATCTCAGATAGTTCAAGCTGGCTTCAAACTCTCTAGTTGACAGTGAAACGGAACTTCTTATCCTCCTGCGTCTGCCTCTAGAGTGCTGGGATTACAGGTGTATGTCACTATGCCAACATGCCTGTTTTATTGGGGCTGAGGAGCAAACACAGGCATGGCGCACACTAGGAAGGCATCCCATCGCCTATATCATATTCCCAGTCCTGTACAGATGTCCATAATGTGCCTAAAGCAGTGTCTGGGGAAAAGCAACTACTACAGGTTGCGTTTGTTTGAAATTGTGGAAAACCAGCTAGGTTCTATGGTAGGATGAAAAGCCTACCCCATTACTTCCAGATTTGGGAATTTAACCCTACCAAACCCACTCAGTGTCACAATTTGAATTACCTAGGCATCCTTACATGCAAGCTAGAAGGCTCTTCTGCATGGCATATCGGACGCTGCTGATTGGCCAAGGATTACACAGACTAAGCGCACGTTCAGGAAGCCTTCATTCCTTAGCTAGGGAAGGCTCACTCAACCGCCTACGTGAGATGATAGTGACTGGGAATGGCTCCTCCCGGGTTGGAAAGGTTACTTTCTGTGCTTTGTGTGTGCTTTGCAACCCTTTGGCTGCTTCTGCTGTGACACTTGTCCCGGTTCTTGGCATCTCCTAGGGCAAGCAGCTCTCAGGTTAGATTTAGGGCATGAGTCTTCTGGGTTGGATATCTCCTCTTCTTGCCACTAGGGACAAGCAAGGAGCACAGAGGTGGGTCTTTGTCTCTGGAACCATCTAGAGCCTGAGTTAGCACTCAAGCAAACACTGGGCTCTTTTTATTCAGCCCCATGGAGGGTGGGAGGTTCAATCTTTTCATGGCATGGTTTTGTTTGGTTTTTTGGGGTTTTTTTGCTCCCCCCCCCCCCTTTTCTTTCTTTTAAATCAGAAAGGACGTGTCTGATTCCAGGAATTCTTGGCTGGAAGAGCTCTTGGTTTTGGATTTGCTTGAGTCTTTTCCTGACCAAGCAGCAGGTTGCTTTGCTCGCTTCAACCGTATTGTTATCTAAACAAGTAAGCCGTCTGTTTGCTACAGGCAAAGTCAGAGTTTCCATCTGAATTTTGGCTAATCAGGATGTAAGGGCGGATTCAAGCTTTGGATTCTTAAATCTCCTAAGCCTTACAGCTGTGTTTCCCTGTTTCCACTAAAGGCTAGGATTTAAGATTTAGGGAATTATGCAAAACACATTGGCAGTGCCCAGGCTTAAGTGTATGCGTGGCCGGGGGTGGGGGGGAGCTTCCCTTGCTTTGTGGTGTTGACTGAGGACCCCCATTTTTTTTGAGGAGTAAGTTCACCGGAGACTGAGCTAATGGTTTCAGACCTTGATCAGGCCTGAGTTCCAGGTACTCTGCTTTTTCTTAAAATAACTTTAAGAATTGAGTGCAAAAATCTGCAAATGGCACCACAGTTGCTGTGTGCATTTATAGATAATGCATAGCACCAAGCTCCTTCACACATCTAGCGATCACACTGCAGACACTTCAGCAGCTCCCAGCCCAGCCAGTCTTCCAAAATACTACCCTGATGCACTTAAAGTCTGCAGCTCTGCAAGGAAATGCCCTGCAATATACCTTTTAAATATGCCTATTGTGTACAAGCACAGAAGCCGTTTATGCAGAATTTTAGCCCGTTTTAAATGCTAAAAGATCCCCTACTAGCGGCTTTGTTTAGCACAAACACTCAAAACTTTATTAAAAACAGTTTTCAAAAGTAGCTTCATAAAACTAGACTGCCAGCAAACCTTGGTCGAGATGTGGAAAATAAATCGTATATCTTTAACCCGCAGAAGTTAAAAGCCTCTCTTTTTTCTTTTTTGTTAGCTAACAATGGAAACTTTTTTTTTTTTTTAAAGTGTTTCCCTCCCTCGGTCTTGCCAAGCAATAGAAAAAAAAAAAAAAAAAAAAAAAAAGAAAGAAAAGAAAAACTTGTTCCGCTGAGTTCAACCCCAGACAGGCTCACAACTTCCTTCCTGCCTTCCTCCCCCAAGCCCCCGCCTTTTTGCCTCCTCCCCCAACCCCCAACTTTTTTTTTTTTAATCTTACATTGAACAAACACCGAAGTAGCCGGGAACAGACGCTGACAGCGGTAGTGTCTCCTACCAAGCAAGGAGCTGCTCAGAGTCAGCCTGGCGTTGCCCACTCCGGGATCGCCTGGCTCCTGTGCCGATATATTCACCCTGTTTGCACCCCACTTTTTTCGTCTTCCATAAGTTTTTACGGAAATCCTTTGGGTGCTTTTTCTACTTTAAGTTACCTGGTCTGCCTAAGTCCTGAGTCCCCGGGGCATGTTGCTTGCACAGGACCTGGGAGTTTGAGCAATTGCAGGTAAGCGTGGCGGCTCCTTCCTGGCCCTCGCCTCTGAACCCTCTTTCCGTTCCATCTGTACTGGGGCTCCTCCGGGTGTTCCGGGGTCCGATCATAGGGCAGGGGGGAAGGCCGAGGAGACTAAGAAGGGAGTCTGATTTGGGAGGGTGGCGTGGAGTGGCGCTGGGGATAGAGGAGGCAATTCGGCTTTCCCAAAACCGCCTTCCGGGCCGCTGCGCCGCGCCGCCTCCCCGGTGCACTGCGGGCGTCTGGGGCTCGGGCTGCCGGTCGGCTCGGTTGGCGCCAGGGGAGGCTGCCCGGGATGCGCGAGGCCCTGCCCTCCGCCGCGCCGCTCCGGGCTTAGCATGCCGTACTCCGGAGGGCTGCAAATTCTCAGGCCTGCACACTAAGAAGGCTTCCGGGCTGCAGCCGTGCAAGCAAGCCTAGAGTTCCTCCGAGGGGTACGGGTCCCGGAGCCTACAGAGGCAGCTGGGTCTTCGGTAACAGGATGAGCACAGAACTGAGTAGCTGCGGGCACACACCCCTCCCACCCCCCAACACGCGCACACACACACACACACACACACACACACACACACACACACACACGCCGCAGGGTGTGAGGGGACAGCAGGGGGCCTCCACTATTGATTCCAATACTGGATACTGCAGAGTTTTGGTCCCAGGCGCGCACGCATGCTCACATTCACAAAACACACTTGTCTGGAGACAGGCATCAAAGTTAGCGCTGAAAAGTGCTTCTGTCTGCGCCCTTCCGCACTCTCCCAGGCCTTTCACAGGCTGAGAGAGGCAGCCTCAAGTTCAGGACCAGGAAAGAAAGCGGCCCAGGTCTCGGCTAAGGCAGCGGTTTGGGAGAAGGCAAGTCCGTGTCAGGCTCCTGTGACTTGGTCTCTGATGTCCTGAGAGGGTGGAGCAGGGGTGCCTGTCATCCTCGACAGCCAGTGTTTGCTCTGGCCAAGGGAACCTGGCCAGCCTCGCCTAGGGACCCAGCAGTTGTACCTCCTCCCTCGGCTATCCGCGTGGCTACCGAGACTAATCTTAGAATTTGGGATTTTAAGTGTTCTAAGAGCGTCTCACAAGCTGGGGGAGGTGGACCACGGCCGGAAAACACGAGCAGAGGCCATTGAAGCCCGCATGCCTCCTCACCGAGCATCACACACCCTGTAGGCCAAGCATCTAGGACCATCCTGTCCCCAGCATATTGGGGTCCCAGGACTCCCTTTGACTTCTCCCCTCGATGCCCTCTGGAATTCTGACTTTTCTCTTCGTGTCTCGACAGCTGCGAGATCGTTTATGGAGCTTGGGGCGGGGGCCGAGCCGGCGATTGTGCCCCATGCCCGCCTCCTAGGCCATGCTGCTCCAGCGGCGTGCGGAGCGGTGGCCGCCGGGCCTCCAGGACTAAGCCGGGAGCCGCGGGAGGAGGAATCGCCGGCGGTGGAGCCGGACCGAGAGCCGCAGCGGCGGGCGGCGCGGCAGACCCAGTACTATGGCTGTGTACTGCTATGCCCTCAATAGCCTGGTGATCATGAACAGCACCAACGAGCTCAAGAGTGGCGGTCCCCGGCCCAGCGGCAGCGACACACCTCAGCCCTCCGGGAGGGCCGCACTGAGCCCTGGCAGCGTCTTCAGCCCTGGGAGAGGCGCCTCCTTCCTCTTCCCCCCAGCGGAGTCACTGCCGCTGGAGGAGCCCCCGAGTCCTGGGGGTTGGCGCAGCGGCCGGCGTAGGCTGAATAGTAGCAGCGGCAGCGGCGGTGGCAGCAGCAGCGGTAGCAGTAGCAGCAGTGGCGTGGGCAGTCCGAGTTGGGCTGGCCGCCTGCGAGGGGACGCGCAGCAGGTGGTGGCGGCCCGCACCCTCTCTCCACCTGGGCCAGAGGAGGCCCAAAGGAAGCTGCGGATTCTGCAGCGCGAATTGCAAAATGTGCAGGTGAACCAGAAAGTGGGCATGTTCGAGGCGCAAATCCAGGCACAGAACTCTGCCATCCAAGCGCCCCGAAGCCCGCGTTTGGGAAGGGCTCGTTCGCCCTCCCCGTGTCCCTTCCGAAGCAGCAGCCAGCCACCTGGAAGGGTCTTGGCCCAGTGCGCTCCAATTGAGGAACGGAGAACAAAGTCCTGGGGAGAGCAATGTACAAAGACCCCAGACGCCAACTCCGGGAGGAGAAGCAGGCTCAGCCTACACTCCTTGAAGGACAAGGAGGGAGTGGCTCCTCTTTTAGTCCCCGCCAGCCCGACCAGGTTAGGGACTCAGAATCCATCAGCTTCATTGAGGATGGAAAGAGGCACCTCGGCCAGTCCCCGCTGTGGCTCACCCACAGCTATGGAAATTGATAAGAGGGTTGCTCCCTCACCGGAGCACTTTGGAACTAGCTTAGCATTGGCCACTAAAGTGGCAACTTCAGCCGCATCCGCGGGACCACACCCTGGACATGATTCTGTCCTCACGGAGGCAGCCTGCGAGCTCGGGGGTGTGCGCCCCAAGGAGGCCCAGATGGAGAGACCGGGGCAGTTTCTGGACAGGGAGACAGACTCAGTCCCAGAGCCTAGCCGGACCCACATAAGAGAACCCCCTGGGAGGGTAGGGAGAGAAATTCATCCTGTTGGTGGTCAGGGTTCCTGGACACCTGAAGTCCTCAAAAGGCAGGAAGAGAGGACTGTGAATGCCCAAAGGTCAGAGGCATTGAATGACCAGAGATGGTCTAGACTGCCAGGAGACCTGGGTTCCGTAGGTCCTGAGGAGGCAGAAAATAGGATCCCAGGGATCCGAGGACCCGAGCAGACCCTGGACCTTGTAAGAGATGGGTCTTCAGCACTGGGCTTGCTTGGGGGCAGCCAGGCAGCACATCCAGGGACCAGGGACGCGGAGGCAGGAACTCTTTGTGACGGAATGCTGGATCCTTTACCACCTGGAGAAGTGGCAACAGATTTGAAAGAAGCCCAGGGCCTCCCTGGGAACAGGATGGGTATGCAGCCTGAGCGTTTCAGGGCTTGGCCAAGTGCCATGGAGGAAGCGCCCCTGATCTGGACGTGTGACACAGGGGTACAGTTGATGGAAACTTGGGGACGTCAGATGCATGACAGAGATGCTCACCCTAGCTGCCGAGAGATGCCCCCAGATCAGAACAAGGCCTCCTGTAAAGAGGCCTGCAGCCCCAGCAGCATCCAAGCCATCCCCGCGGTCATTATCACAGACATGGGGGCTCAGGAGGATGGGGGCTTAGATGAGATCCAAGGAAGTCCACGGGGTCCCCTGCCTCTGAGGAAGCTGTCTTCTTCCTCGGCCTCCTCCACCGGCTTCTCCTCTTCCTATGAGGACTCAGAGGAGGACATCTCCAGTGACCCTGAGCGGACGCTGGACCCCAACTCAGCCTTTTTGCATACCCTCGACCAGCAGAAGCCCAGAGTGGTAAGTGTTGCAGAATGATTTTTTTAAAAGAATTCATATACCACAACTAATATTTCTCTACAGGCGGGTTCACTGTGAGGCAGGCACAGAGGTACCAACCAAGCCCTCGTAGACCGGACAGTTGAATCTGAGTCATTCCTACTGTACACGTCTTTAAAAAGGGTTCGAAGGAACATAATATTCACGAATGTCAACAATAACAAGCCTTCCTGGTTTCCAAAGATAGTGAACAGAGCTGCTGAACGTGGCTTTCGCTTGCTGAAGTGAAACACTTAGTTTTGTGATTCATTCAGGCCGACAAGGAGATCAATCACTCAGTCTCTCCTACCAAGCAGAAATGCCAGTGATGTGATCCCGTGACGGGACCCTGACCTCTGCAGATGTGGTTGTGCTGAGTCTCAGTCACTTAGGCAGGACTTGGCAGTAACAGTGTGGTTGCCATAACTAAGGTGCATAACTAGTATGACGTGTGAGTTAAAATGAAAACTATCTTTTGGGCCAGTAGATGTTTTCTTTTTGTAGCAGAATGTTATTTGGATAGAGTAGTCAGTCTGAGTCAGGCACACGGTGTCTCCTAAGGGGTGTGAGTTGGGACAGGTCCACTCCAGGTTCATTTTCGCATGTGTGCTTGGGTTCATCACACTGACTCCTGGTCTGTCGGTGACGGTGACAGGCGTTTGTTCCTACTGCGCGGTTGATCTCACCTTTTGAGGTCGGCCTCTTTTAGAAGATATAAGCATGGAAGCTCCCTCTTCTAAAATGAGATGGCCTTTCTCTTGCCCCTCCAGGGAGGATGGGGGGAATTTCCTAACCTGGCGTGCAGGATGTTGTAGGCTACCGTGTGGGGAAAGCTGAATGGTATTTTAGTGGGTAGACTTCTGGTTCCTTCTTGAACGTGAGGTTTCACCCATTTGTACCCCAATCACTTTCTCCATCCTTAGTGTTCAACACGCCTTGCTCAGAGACTGTGGATTCTAAAACACGGTTCTTTTCTGCCTCCACTTCAGAAATCACAGTCTAGTTTTGAAGATCAGCAATTGCTTTCCCAAAACCCTTCTGGAGATGTAGAGGCAAATTCGTATGCAAAGTCGAGTCCTAATCGGCCTGGCATTTTGTGGCCAGCGACAGGGCTCCCCAGGTACCTTGCACCTGCTCTCAGGCATCAGCACACCACCTTTAGAGAAGGGGTGGGCAGTCTGCCTGGAGCAGACAGTGGCCACAGGGCAGATGGAAAATGCTTCTCTTGGTAGGTGAGGCCCATTTTTTCCCCTCTGCTTAGCAGTTAGAGGCCTATTAAGTAAGGAAGGGTCTTCTGCCCACCCCTCCCATTTGTTGTGAAACCCTGAAGCTTGGCTGGCACACCTAAGTAACTCTGGGTTGCTATCAACTTTGCTTTTGCTCTTTCTTGTGATGGCTGAGCAGCTCTCACCTACCACTTATCAAAACAGCCCATACATCCGTGTTTGGAAAGGAAGCCTTGTCTGGGAATGTATTAAAGGGGATATAAATATTAACATGTCAACAGCAACAACTTTCTTCTCCTCCTCCTTCTTTTGTTCTTCTTCTTCATTCATCAGAGTAAAATCAAATGTGTCACCAGGGAGGCAGCCTGTGTTTTCAAGTTAAGTAAGAGGCCCGGAGGTGGAAGTGAGCTGCTGTCCCATGGAGTGGAGTCAGAGAAAAGAAATCCTTCCAGCTTTACTGTCTGAAGCATGTGAGGCAGAGGAAGAGAGAGAGAGAGAGAGAGAGAGAGAGAGAGAGAGAATATGAATGTATGCGTTGGGTTCAGTGTGGGTAACTAACCAAGTGGAAATTATGGGATCCTAGGGACTTTTGTGCTTTGGTTGAGAGCTTGCACTATGAGCAGAATCTCCTCCTAGACTAATTGCGATGCTAGGGGCTTATCAGGAACACCAAACCATCTGCTTACTGGGCCAAAAATCCTCATTCCCCGAGACTGCTATTTTGTCTGCAGGAGGCCAGACATCTTGATTGACCTGGGAGGCCCGTGGGCTGCCCTTTTGATATTCAGTAATTGATGCTCACATAGGCTACTACACCACATCTGGGCACACTCACCCTTGCCCACTCTCCCTCACACACCCTCACCTTCACATTGCTCACGCAAACTGACCCATGTCTACACATGTTCACACTCGATTCCTGCCCACACTCACACCCATCCATCCATACACATAGCTTTGAAATGGCATGTTCACACAACCCATCCCGGCCCCCAGACCCGTACTAGAACCTAAGGGTTTTTACCACTGCCCTTCTCTCCACGTGCCCTAACACATGTGTAATCGGGTGTGCAGGTGGGGTGTGACAGCACTATTGACGTCTTAAGGCTCAGACACTTGGCATTGGCTTGGAAGTAACTATCATGACTTTGTCTGCAGCAGCTTAAATTTAGGTCTGTTCACACTTCCTGTTCCCTGAGGTCTGCACAGAGCCAAATGGTACTGAGCAAGGACGGCGCTCTCTTTGTTCTTTCTCATAGTGGAGACCATTTATTGTTTTACCCTCCTATATTATTCTATCCAAGACCATCTGGCAAACTGAGAGTCCAGGCAGAGAGTATGACATTATAACACAGAAGCATCTTACCTTACAGAACATATTAGATTGGTTTGTTCCAAAATTCTCCTGTCAATAATGTATACGTACAAAAAATAAAACAAGGGGCCGACAAGATGGCTCAGCAGGTAAAGGTGTTTGCTAACAGGCTGATGACCTGATTTTGATACCCAGAACCTATGTGTTAGAAGGAGAGACTATACTTTTGTATGTGTCCACGCAGGCGCGCGCGCGCGCACACACACACACACACACACACGCATGCGTGCATGTAAAAACATAAATAAAATGTAAATAAGTATAAAATATCTGGGCTGGAGAGATGGCTCAGCCATTAAATGGCTAGGCTCACAACCAAAAAAAGTATAAAAAAATCAAAACTACAGCCTAGTACCTGTAGATTAAATAAAGAACTAAAACACCTCAGAGCTTTGCCTTCTTGATGTTTGCTACATTTAAGGGACACTGGAATTTTGTTTCTTTGGTCTTTTTGGAGGGAAGAGTAGGTACTGTACTTTTGCTTCTTTTTAGTGAAAATGAACTTGGACAAATAGCAAATTTTCACCTGCTTGAGATGTGTGTGGCTTTAAGAAGCATGTAGCGATTTTATGTGTGATTATCTCGTGGTGAGCACTTTAAGTGGGAACTTTAAAAAAGAGGTTTATTTTCTTTTTTTATGTGTGCATGTGTGTGTGTGTGTGCGTGTGTAAACACAGAGGAGAGTGTAGGGTTCCCTGGAGCTGGGACTGCGGGCAGTTGTCAGTTGCCTGGGTGGGTGTTGAGACTGGAACGCCAGTCCTACTTGAGCAGCGAGCGCTCTGGACTACTGAAGCATCTCTCCAGCCCCTGGAAACTTCAGATGGCATGTGCTGTTTTCTGAAGATGGGCCACCCTTTTTTCTCCCTCTCAGGGACAGGGGCTCCTGGATCTAGGATCCCTGGAGTCATTTCTCTGAGATTCCTGCAGTTACTCTAATTAAACACAAAACAAACCAACAAAAGCAAGATTTAAAGACAACACCGAGGGGCCTGGCTCTCTCGTAGCATTTTCTCTGTCTACGTTGTGCATAGAGTCAAGGGGGACTCAAGAGGGTCAATCTCATTCCAACTTTCTGCAAATACTTAGTTCTAGATATTCAGCTCCAAACTTGGTGGGTGTGAAGCATGCCTCAGGATGTCTGGAAGTGTGACAAAGATCCTCCAGCGTGGACCTTGGTATTGAAGTCCAAACCAGGCACCTTTAAATGTGTGCTTTTATTGAAGCCAATTGATTGATCAGACTGTTTTCCTCCCCTCCCTTTACCAAAAGATGGGCTCTTTGTAATGTCACATTGAAAACATCAACAACAAAAAAAAACCTGCCATGAGAGTGAAGTGCCGGCGCCATAACTGAGGATTTCTTTTTCTTTATTTCTTTATTTTCTTTATTGGTTTGGATTTTGGAGAACAGGGTTTCTTTGAGTAGCCCTGGCTGTCCTGAAACTCTTTCTGTGGACCAGACTGGTCTCGAACTCAGAGATTCACCTGCCTCTGCCTCCTGAGTGCTGGGATTAAAGACGTGGGTCACCACCTCCTGCCCAGAGGTTTTCATTAGTAATCCCACAGATCTGAGGAACTGGGCTGTTAGAGGATGCCCATAGGATACGTTCAGGCTACAGATAAAAAGAAACCGCTCAGATATGAAGTTTCAAAGCGGAGGCTTTGCTGACACGGAGCCAAGAAGTCCCTGCAAAGCGTTGTCATATTAGAGACCAAAGCATTCCGCCAGCTTTAGTAGATCAGGAGGAAGACGGGTTGAGAGCATTTAAGCTCTGCAGAAATGCATTTCGAGACATACCTTGTCTTTAAGTTTTAGTAAGGACTGAGTAATCCTGTCAGCCTTTGACTGCAGAAAACTGGATCTCGAGTCTGACATAAGACATCCTCGGAACTCTGTGTGTGAGAGCTGATCTGCTACCCAGTCGCTTTCTGTCTTTTTCGGCTTTCTGAATGTTGTTACAGATTAGATTAATTTTATATGGTTTATTTAAATTCCTAGGAGCATTGATAACATTGTTTAGGCTTGTTTTATTTTGTCTGGTTCTAACTTAGTCACCTGAAGGTAGGTTTTTTTTTTTAATTTAATGGAAAGAATGTTATCTTGTGGGAAAACTCCTGTAGATTTCAGATAACCAATAGGTGAATCAAGATTATCTCAGGAATTCTTCTGCATTACCTTGGGAAGCCAGGTGTTACTATGTCTGTACTTTCAACACACCCGCTGCTACACCAGCACCCCAGGCTGCTACAGAAGGATTTCCAGTATGAAACCAGCCTGGACTGGATAACGGGCCCCTATCTCAAAAACAAGCAAATGCACTAATTACTGTGGTCACATTATCAGTGTGGAGGAATCTGGTGTTTGGATAGGCGAGGACAGCT